CAGCGTTGTATATGAACTTGCAAGAACCAACTGAAATGAAAAAAGAAAAAAATTTTTTTACTTTGATGAACTAACTGTAAAATGATTACTTTCTAAGTTTCAGTGTTCATTAAGATTCTTCTATAATTAAGATAGAATTTATGTGACAAAAAGAGATAAACTAGCATACTGGTTTTATATAGTTATAGGAAATACAACATACTTATTTAATTAAAATGTATTTTCAACAGATTCTTTAACTCATTTCAATCCGAGATTAAATCTCTTGCATGAAAGTAATTTAATGGCACCCATCTTCTTATAGGACATTACAACATAATGGATAATTCATTTTCATTTCTGCTAACAAAAAATAAAAAATAAAAGTCAATCTCTTTTATAAATGGAAGATGCAAACAATTAAATTCTAAAAAGTATTTTTTCACTGTTTCTGTTGTAGCTTCCATTGAGTGCCAACTTAGTGATAACCAGTATTGATGTAAAACAAACTGTAGTTTTTCCAGCCAAATAGTTAAGAAAATTTACTATGACTATGCAAAGCTAAGGCAATATTTTGTACTGTGATATGCACTCCAGATCTTAAAAATTCTTTCTCCATTAGAAAAGTTACTACCATTATGCCAAGATAAATAAGAGTTCTGATAAATGGTTCAAAATGAGAGCCTCATTTGTCGTTTATCCAACTACTACAGAATAGCAGAGTAAAAAGTTTTAGGATAGAGTATTAGATCCAGTAAAAGAGACAACTGAAATATATTTAAGATTCCAAAACACTACAGAGGAACAATGGGGATACCTATATAGCAGCACAGTTAACAATCAGCAAAGAAAGCAGGTGCTATATGATTATAACCAAAGAAAACAGAAAACTTAGATTTAAAACCATAAAAGAGTAATCTTCGCTTTTGTAACCCAAAGGGTTCCAGTGAAGGCCTTCCAGATGGAATTAAACAAAATCTTGGATATAAGACTCAAACGGAGATATCACGATGCAAATAGCAGGCTCTGTCCTTATAAAGAACATCTGTTGTGAGGTTGTTTACATTCCTATCAAAATAAAAAAGAGTATAGCTAATTCTCCATTGCAGCCAGACTTGTTAGGGGGAGTATGAAGTTACTGTGGTTTTTAATACATTATAAACACACAAGGTTTTTTCCTAACTTAGAATTTTGTCATCTGGAAAAACAGACAGAAAGAGATTTGGGGCACAGAGAATGATTCTGTATTTGTCTACATATAATTTACCAGGGTTTTATTTCTGCATTTTCCATTACTTTATATATTATTATATGAATTTTTGTAGTTTATTTCCTCCCTGTTTCAGGGAGAAAACAATGTCATTTCATGAGTCCCTTGCTGAACAGTCTACTAGAAATGGAGATCTTCCAGCCCGTGGGTTAGCGGTTTGCTCTCACTCTTCCAGAGATAATAACTAGGCTGTGTTTAACCTGAGTTCCTCAGGAAATTAGAGATAGGTCATAAATTATAGGTTATTACTGCATTTTAATATTCCTCTTCTCTGCTGTCCTGCTCTAGGTTTTCAGAAATTGTTGAGGTTTTTTTTTGGTTTTTTTCTTTTTATTACTAGGAACTCAAATATATTCAAAGAGAGATCACCAAGTGCTTGTTCTGCTGTTCCTGTGTTTCCCCATCCCACCATCCTGGGCAGGAAGCAGGCAATGGAAGAGGCTGAACACTTCCATCCTCCCCTGCGGTGCAATGGGTGGCCAGCGGGAGGGGGAGAACAACCAGGAAAAATGTTCTTGGTTTGCATTAAAACCACTTTATTACATGTTACCACTTTTCAATTCTTGGTGTGTTTTAACAGTGAACCTTTAAAATAGTAGAGCTAAAGCTTTGATATTGAAAGCCACATTATAAAATTAATTTTGAATAAATCTTCTATTTTTTATGCTTACTTATGCCAAATAATTAATGGATTTCTCACCAATTGTGGTCTCTCTCCTTCAGCATTGCTGCCGAACACTGCATTTCAAGTGGTTTGTCTCCCTCTATTTTTTACATATATATATATATATATATATATGCACACACATATATATGCTCTTTCCCAGTAAAGATAGCTCAGACTTCAGCACTGAACACAAAATGATAGCTGTGAATTTATTACACAGAATAATTTGTCTTCATTCCTTCGCGTAGAGTAGAAAAACTTTAGTGCAAAAAGAGATGGCAAATACAAAGACCACCAAGAGCAAACGAAGACCAAAGAGATGTAGTTTGGAAAGAACGTTTGCTATAAATACATTTCAAAAGTAAGCAGTATAGTTTGTATATGGAAAAAAATGATACTAACAGTGCTTAAGAACAAATGATGAAATATATTTGTAACTATAATGCTATAATTTCTAGTTTCTACTATACATTTTTTACGGTGAAGACTCTTTTGCATCATCTAAACTTCATCCTGCCACATTTTACCTTTGCCTTTTTTATTCTTGGTTTTCAGGAAAACTACTTTTGAAACAATCTGACCACATATGATTTAGAAATAAGTTACACTAATAAATATTTTTATAGTGATTTGAAATTACAAACAAAATCTTTCTTTTCTTCTTCCTACACAAACCAGAGAATAAACTTGTAGAAGAAACTTCACTATTAGCACAGCAGCCTGATTACAAAGGGCAATTACTAATTTTGAAGTACACTAGAAAGACATGACCTGATTACAACACAGTGATTAAGATACAGATATAGATTAAGAGTAGGATGTACTGATATGACCGACAGAATGAAATTAAAGTCACCTTTCTAAGAGTCAGTGATTTACAAAAGATCTTATACTTTGAAAATGTTCAAGTTGAGTAAAGGTAATTCAAATTTTACTTCTACTGTGAAACATTCAGGTTCATACCATCTCATCCATTTCCATGGGAGCCAGGCCAACTACACACCTTTGAAGTAATGGCCTTGATCCTGATTCTGAAAGCACTTGTATATATTTCACATGCATGGTTTACTTTACAGAATCCAGTTATTATTGAGTTATTTGCCATGTAAAAATCAAACACATGACAAACAGCTGCAGGAGTCAAAAGCTATGTCAAATACTTGCCCCACTGACATTTTTTACTCTCTAAAGGAATCATTTACAGAACTGTTAATCGTGCAGAATGGTCATTCTCAGACAGTGAAAAGTATAGTTGGAGCCAGACTCTTCTTTCTAGGGAGAGCAGTTCCTTTGCTGTAATTAGAGGCACTGAAGCACACTCCACAAAACACAGTTGTTTCTTTAATAAGAGACACTGAACACTATCCCAGCCTACAGCAGCTTTCTCAGTTTGAAACACAAAAGCAGTCAAGTCTCAAAAACTTCAAAGGAAGATTTTCATTTTATTTTCTCCTTGATCCACTGATAGAACAGTTCATTTTCTTGAATTCCGCAAAATTACTTTTTCACTCATCAGACCTATGTAACAAATCACTGTCTCAATCACCAAATGTTCCTGTTTGACTCATCTGCTTTTCCTTTGGCCTTTGGGTAGGAAGCTTCACTTCTGAAACATTTTCTAAATTCAATTCTGTGAACTCATCTTCCTCAGTTGCACTTTGTTCCATTTTAAAAAATAAATGCATTTCCTGCAACGTAATGTGCTAGTTTCAGGTTTTAAATTTCATCAGAATGCATTTTCTTTCTTAGATAAAGCAATGTCTTTTCTTTAAAAAGCACCTCCTTCTAGTACACTATTAGTTATAACATGGTACTTTTTAAGCAGTAAATGCTGCAACATAACGTTTTTCCAGAATTCTTAGTTTCATTCTTAGAACAGCTTTTTCACTAACAAGAGGTTTGTAGTCTCATGTATACTGTTTTGGTTTTTGCAGTGAAAGATTTTCTCTTTCTAATTTCTGAACTTTGCTGCTGCAGTCTGTTCTAAGTATCTCCTCTGAGGAAAATTGTTTAACAAGACAGGACTGTCAATAATCCTAATCTTTTTCAATGTTGAAAAGGCTGGAAGGGTATAAAGTTCCATTCCTCCAGGCTTTTTCTTCCTCAAAGCAAATAGGCCAACTTCACATGGGTATTCCCTGTGGGGAGCACAGTTAATCCTTTTCAAGATGTAGAAACAAACCCTGTAATATGAATTATATTTTCAACTGGGTATTTACATTTCCAGGTGTACCATCCAGTAATGTACAAAAGAGAAAGCTGCAGAAGCTCAGAGCATAGGAAACTCATACACAAGAAGTGCTCCAGAAGAACATACAACAGGCCACATTATGATCTTTGCTTACTGACACCAACTGGAACAGAAACACTTGTCATTTTATGCTAATTGTGAAACGGAGCTGAGTATGATCAGTTACTTAAGTTTTATGTAGGCAGCTTTACCATCTTCTGTATGATAGCAGATTTTAGCCTACTTTCTGAAATGCTAAGGTTAGACATCAATCTTCAAAAGACAAACAAATCTGATCAGATATCATATTCTAAACAGAATGGTGATCACTCCATAGAAAACGGAAAAGGTAAATAAAACAGCTTCTGAACAACACAAAACCAGTATAAAGCATGGGGTCCCAGAGAAACACAGTCAGAGCTGTTTGATCAAAACTCCCCAGACTGTGGTTCAGAAAGTGTTTCACAAATGTGCACAAGTTTGACAAGACAGTGTCAGTTGCCTTTTGCCTAGCCAGATACCTTCTTTCTCCTGCTCCTACCGTGATGCTTGTTTCCATCCCCTGTGTTTCCCACACGGGCTCCCCCAGCCAGCCATCCACGTTTCCCTCTGCCTGAGAGGTTCACTCTCACCCCCCTGCTTTCTACATCCTACACGTCCCATTCTGTCAGCTCGTCCTCCTCAGCTGTGTCCTGTCTACCACAGTCACTTCCCGCCAGGGTCTGGAGTCTCCTTCCCGACCCAGAGAGGCAGAGGCGGGAGCCAAGGCCTGGCAGGGCACAGAGCCCTGAGGGAAGGGCTCTGCCAAACACAGCAAGGCCCAAAGAACCCACAGACTCCACAAGAAGACAGAAATGAACCTGGATGCTTTGTTCCAGCAAATAGAGTTCACAGAGAAGCAAGCGAGGGAGAAGAGGCACCTCATCCAACAAGGTCTGCCCCGTGGCTGCCATCTTGTGGGTCCGTGGCTGCCATCTCGTGACCCTCTCCATTTCCCGGGGGAAAGGCAGGGTGCCTGCTCGGTGCTGCATGTGGGCACCTTTGTCAGTGAAAGCTTGGCAGGCAGCCGGCCTGGCTGCTTCTTGCCAATGGTAGGTTTTTATAAGAATGTAAATTTCACAAACTGAGCACACATTCTTACAGGTTTTTGTTGTGTTGCAGCTAAAGTCGATATAAATAGAAGTTATGAAAAAATTAACCAGATAAAAGAAGAGCTGAGCATTGCAAAAATGAAATTGGAGACCAAGGTAAGCAGGCATGTTTATAGTATACATAATAATGAAATACATTCTATTTACAAACATATGACCTGTTCTTTCAGGAATAGATTCATAAACACTTTGAAGGAGTATGCTTTCAGCTACCAAATAACACAGCACTGTGAAAACTGTGCGTTTCTATAGTGAAAAAAAGGTTGTTAAGGTCTTTTCCCTCTCACAAATCTCACCCTTCAGGCTAGCCCCTGGCTATGTTCAAGGACTTGCTCACCTGATTTTCCAGATAAGGCTTCCAAAATCTGGAAGCACTGTGAGACAGCACATGTGCCTGTGAAAGTCAGTCCTGCTCTGCAGACAGAGCCGGGCAGGGAGCAGAGCACCACGTCAGGTCAGCCCGTTCACAAGACACAGCCACCAGACACCAGCTGTACGGTGAGAGTGGCCCTGTCTTAACAGTCCTGGGGCTTGGTGTAGCACTTGCCTTCAGAGGCTGGGAAACCAGTCCTTTCTTGCCCACTGCCATTCATTAAAGGCCTTTCACAGAAAATAGATTAAAACATTCCCTGTGCTTACTTCACAGGGTCGTGAGTCATATACTAAAGATCTTCCTGTGAGCCTGGGCTCACATTTAGGGCTTACAAGGCCTAAGAGTTTTTCTAGGGACAGTGGAGACAGAGGAAAGTTTCTTAATTTATTTAGTGTTTTTAAGATTTTATTGTGCTTTCCATTTAACCAAACTGCAGGCATATATTCAGATTAAGCTTCCAGTTCTGCAGAGCTTTTCACCATTAATACCTGTGGTTACAAATGATTTAAAAATCCATTTGCTTGTGCCTGAAAATGAAGTTTAAATATCATCCCCTGTGCTCTTAAGTATCTGTGCTGGCAGAATGTGTATGCACAACAGGAAAGCATATGGAGCCTCCTTTGAAGTCAGAACTGTTGTAGCCTATCACCTAAATAAACATCTTCAAGAACCTTTGGAGGACTGCCTCACCTAGTTGTGAAAATAAATGTTTGGGGGATGATTTTCATCCTTCCAAAAACAGGCTCTTCTGACTTTTGTAAAAGACTATGTAATATACACAATAAATATCAACATTACTGCAAAGGGGTCAGAATAAAAGAGAACTCATTTACAAATATTTACTGGTTGCAAATTGAGGCTATAATCATGCAAACAGTTATTCACATGCTTGCATTTATGCATGCCACAATCTCAGAGCCTAAAAGTGCTTTAAAATAGTAACTTATTTAACCAACACAGATTATATCTGGGTGTTGCTTATTAGATAAAGCCCTACGTAGTCTTGCTTATAAATTTATTTATGAACATCACAATTTTATGTTTATACTACTAATTTGTTATTGATGGATTGTGATTTATAATCAAGGTTTATGTGGTAGATGCAGAAGGTCCCAAGAGTAGAGCCATTATTGTAAATGACTAATGGGAAGAGCTGAAGAAATATTCCTAATTAAATCTCATGTGCTTTACCCACCAGGATTAATAATATTCTCACTGGTGTCCACAAAAATATATTTGACTTGCTCTCTTAGTCTGACATTGATTCATTTAAAGATAAGAAATTATAGAGAAAAGAAGTGGAATGGGAAAATGTATTTCAATCAAACTGTATTTAGGTTTAAAGATTATATAATTATTGAAATTATTTAAATTTATTTTTCAGTACAGGAATTAAGTTTACATATGTCTACAATAGTTAATGTAATTCAAATAATACTAAATAATGCTCTTCAGCTAATGCTGTTCAATTTGTCCAGCACCAAATAACTCCACTCTGTATAACCATACATATCCAAGCACATGCATGCACAGCAGCTTATGCCTGACCAAGCAGATGAGAGCGAGTTCAAAAGTGTTTTGACATCTATTTCACAGAGGCTGCCTGTGGTCAATCAAAGATTCCTAGGAAATGCTATTTTTTTCCTCTGCTCTGTAAAATCAGGAAGCATGTAATTAGAGCCCAAATTATCACATTTTGCTTTTCATGGCTCAGTGATTTCTCAAAAAAAATCTGTTATAAATGCATAGATTAAGTTGACATCTTACAGATGGAGAATCTACACTACAGCTAGTTATGTTCAGTAATATAAATACAGTGATACAAGACTATCTACTGTCTTTGAACTAATATGTAAAATAAATATTCCTGAGAATAGCAGTTTCTGGAAGCTTCACATGTCAGACATATCACAAGTAAGGGAAAAATCTGCCCCTTTCCTTTCCAACTCTCACATTCTAGTCTTAGGGCATTTGATTCCAGTATCCTCCTTTTTTAATCAGATGCACTTCATCTGAACACTCTTCAAAATCATCTACATTATTGCATTTTACAATCTTTTCATTTTTACCTCTGTAATATCACTATTATTTGGTCTTTTCTGCTTCTGCACACACAAACAGTCACATACCAGCCTGACTATTCCATTTACTTCCTGATACTTACCCTGTGCCTTTACAGTCTGTGGGCAATTCTGCTAACTTTACTTTCCCTACTCATTTTTCTGAATATTACAGTCTGAGTCATTCTCTTGACCTCCTTTTCTCCACTTCATCAGATGAATGATTCTCATCTTTTAAGACTCTTCAACACTTAACTGTTCCCTATTTATCTGCTGTTATAGTTTATCCTACCATATATCTTAACGTAGGTTAGACAATGATACAGTAGGTGCTCTGGAATACTGAGAACTCTTCAGCAAATTTTGAAAATACAGTAATTGAACAGCATACCCTTCTATCAGATAAACTACTGTTTAAAAGTAATAAAAATAAAACTATATGCAAAATGGAAGTTTGGGGCTTGTGTGTTTATGGACAAACTGTCTTTTACCAATGAGCTAATTTCCGTTCCACTTCCTTGGCTAAGAATTCCAGAAATTGTGCTCAGAAGAATATGAGTATATCCCTTCCTTCTTCACCTATGCAGTAGTAGCATTGCAGAGTTGATAATGTGTACAGCCATTCAGTCAGAACAATGGTGTTGGACCTCTGTCCCTCTGATATTTTTGTCTGATTTTATGAGCTTTACACAATTAGATGGAGGACACTGTATTATGGTGGGTAAAAGGTCCCATATGATCAATACTCTTCCTGTTTTTAACCTGAAAAAAATTCTCCTAAACTGAGAAGAATTTAAAATGCCGTTTTAGATAGATGGACCAGTACTAAATGTGTTTTTTAAAGAAAGGATACTTTTCAAAAGCTTAGTGGTATATTGGAAGATTGCTGGGGGGAAAAAAGAGCTGTTATGCTTTTGCTAGTCCAGCAGCTATGCCAGCTGTGTTTTAATAGGACCAAGATCCTTATGTATAATATCGAAGTATGTGAAACAATAAAACACTAACCTTATTTTATAACCTTTTTTTTTGTTTTCTTGGAAGGTTCAGCATCTGTGTGAAAAACAGTTCTATTTAGAAATTCTGAAGAAACGTGAAGACAGCTTAGAAAAACAGAAAGCTGAACTCATTAATCAAAAAAGCAGTCTTCTTAAAATCCTTGTATGTTTCCAGTTATGGTATTCAGACACGAGAGTATGTATGAGAGTAGTCAGCTTGAACCTTTGAAAATATGGAAGTAATGCTTTAAATCTGGAAAATATTATTTTTGTTTACTCTGAAATACTTAGCAAAGCAAACGTAGATAAATTCTCACTTTTAATTTAAACGATGATCTAAGGTAATGTATGCTGCATTTTATCTACAAAGCTGATTTAACATTCTGATGCTGTTCTATGACTGAACTCCAATTCTGACATATTTCCTTTGTAAAAGAAATCTAGGAAGGTCTCACCTTAAGCCTCATCCACAATAAAACGTGCTGAGAAGAATCAGAGGAAAAACTCAGGGAGGCCAGCCCCACGTTTTAGGAATCTTGCCATACTACACAATGTCTTTGATGCTAGACTCTTATTACATATACAGACAGATGTAGCTACTTGCAACGCCTACAGAAAACAAGCTTTTCAGTTCTCTCGTGCTAACCTGAATATTGCCTTCCTCTTACTTCATTGTGGATCCTTGCAGATGTAGAAAGAAATGGCACAGATGAGTAGTCTTCTCTGCATATGTATTTGTACTTTAAATCAACAGAGCTAAATTTTAAACATTCAGTATGAATCACCAATATTAACCCTAAATCTTTAGACAGCTATCCTTTTAATTAAGTAATATCTGTTCAGCATCCAAAGCATTCCCAATCCTAAGTATACAAAGAAAAATAAATATTGTAAGTACCATAGAAAAATTATTTAGTTATAAAATCTAAATATCCCTCGAAGAAATGTAAAGTTTCTTTTAATTGTAACGAGTCAAGCTTGATATATAGGTTATTTCTTTCTTCCTGTATATAGGGATCACTTAATTTTATTTAATTTAGTAATAAGATATTTTTAAGAGTTTAATATTACCTTCCTCTTCAGAATATTTTTTTCCAGAAAATGAGACAGTGACTTCCTATCAACTACAGCTTTCCTGGTAGTTATTGAGGGAGTTAAAGTAAGTCTGCATTCTACAAAGGAATAAAAACCAGCTTTATTTCATTTAACAGTCTAGAAAAAAAAAAGAGTGGCTATACTATGCCTCTGACTTTAAACAGAACTTTCTACTAATATCAGTGAAGAGTTGAACTGAAAAACTGCTGGCACAACTGTATAACGTAATGTACTGATTTTTAAAATGTTTTATTAAGAATAGAACCTTCACTTTTTCAGAAAAAAAAAAATAAAACAACAGACAAAATAATAGAGATGTAGGCCATTTTCATGTTCTTATAAGTCAGGAAAAGTAAATATACTGCATTTATACTGTAAGTTTAAGGATAAAAAACAAGTGTATTTCAGTTTTCCTAGCTTGACAGACTTTCTTTTTCTTGACCTCAACATTCAATTTTCCCTTTCTTTTTTTCAGACAGATGCAAAGAGAAAAATGACTGAAGAGGAAGATAATTTTACTGGAGAAGTAACACAGTTTAACAATGAGTATGGACTAACAAGTAATAGAAATCTTCTGATTAAAAAAAAAGTCAAGACTGAAATAAATGATTTAGAGAATGAGGCAGCTCTGTTGAAAAATGGTAAGTCTTATATTAAACTATTTTATCTTGGATTAACAGAGAAAGAATACAAATCAGTAAAATATAGCTGTGCAAAACATAATCTTAATTACATTCTCTTGCTGTCTGGAACTTCCTTTTAGCACTAAACTGAAAGAGTATGGTCTGACATGCCACATTACGCAAGCATAATTAAAGCTTCTTCTGCTCCTTATTCTCTTTAGTCCTTTCTGACTATGAGCACTGTGAGGAGAAAAAGCAGACCTGCAGAAGTGGCTTCCAATGTCTAATGTCAACCAGCACGGAGATGCACTGTCCTGCATAGGGCACTATATTAGCTTTGCACTGATTATAATCACCTATGGTTGAGCTACATACATTTCTTAAGCTTCAAAACAATTATACGCGCAGATGTCTTGTAGGACTGTCTTTTACTACCACAGTATAACTTTATCTTTGAGTTAAGATACAGAATATGAGATTTCTCAGAACAGAGATGCAGACTGTAAAGCAATCCTTCAAGCAAGGAAATAGGAGTCATCATGGTTCATAAGTTGAACATGAGTCAATGACATCAGAATGCCAACATCATACTGAGACATAAACATAATTCTGACCTATAAGACATGCAAAATAATCCTCCACTCTATTCAGAGCAGTTAAGCTCTTAGCTGGAGTACTGTGCATCGAGTTTTGGATATTACAGTTCAAGAAAAGATGTGAACCAGCTGGAGAGAATCCACATGGGACCAGTGAGCATGATCAAAGGTCGGGAGAACATGAGAAGGAAAAAAATAAAAGAATTGAGACTATTTAACCTATGAAGGAAAAGATTGATGGAAGATAAGTATCAGCCTTCAAATCGTTAAAGAATACCCTAAAAAGGAAATTAATATATTCTCCATACTTACAGTAAACTGAAAAAAATGTAACAAGTGTAAAGCACAATAAGAGAGTCTGGCTGGCTGTTTAGATATCCTTCTAGAAGAACAGTGAACAACTGAAACCTCTGCTTTAGGAGATTCTATTACCAAAGGAATTGGGAATCTCCATTACCAAACATCTTTAAAAACAGGTTAGACCAACATCTGTCAGAAATGACAGATGATCCTGCCTTCAGGAGGAGGAATGCAGTAGATGACCCCTCAAAGTCCCTACCAGTCTCATGATTCTATGATTCATCAAGTGCCAGCACTTTGAATTCCTGGTATCTACAAAGATACTGAAAAGTGACTATCCATTTGTGTTTGTACTTGGTGGCACCCTCTTTCTGTATTTCCTGTTGCTCTGAGTCTGATCTACAGCGGAAAAAAAGTCTGTATTTGGTGGCACCTGTTACTTTTAATGATTCATTTTTACATATTCAGGCAGCTCTGATAAGTCAAATGATCAGTAGGACAAGAAAGCCAACTAACATTCTCCTCTAGGTTCAGTTGTTGTCTTGATTCCATTCTTTTAAATTGCATCTCTTTTGAAGTGCAACTTGTCTACATCTTTGCTACACTCCTCAGCACTAAAGAGAAAAGTTTGAGTAACTCCTAGCAAGGAAATTATGTGAGGACCTCCAGTCGTTAGGGAAACAATCAGAATTAATTCCAGATGCTGTCAACGTCAGGTTCAAATGACCGTAACACTAAGCAAAATAAGGCTTCCTTCAGTCCTGCTGAGAGGTGTCTGTTCACCACCTATTCAATGTCATCTTTCTTTCTAGCTGAAGTAACTCTAAAGCAAAACATTCTTTTTATTCCCCGTCAACAAAATATGTCAAGCAATAACATTAAAAAATAATGTTATTTCATAGTTATGAATACATTATATGACATAATTTGCTGTGAAGAGAGTTTTATATGACTGATTTTACCTGATTTTAGTTTCATATTTAAGGTTCTTTTTGAATAGCTGAAGATTGGTAGAAGTAGTTAAGAATATTTATGGTCATATCAGGAAGACTAAAACTGCAATGGATTTTAATTTAAAATATATTTTTTCTTAGAAATGGAGTCGATGGAACATAAAAATACTCAGTTAAATGCACTCCAGGTGAAGAAGAATGAATTAAAGCAGGAGTTATTTACTCTCCAAAGTGAACTCAAAGGTGTGCCTGATAATCTCTTGTTATGATCATTATTTGTGGCTTGGCAAATGCTTCTGAAAAATCTTTTCTGTCAAGTTAATTTCTCAAGAAAAAGAAATCATAGAAACAAGATTTTAATATATGTTTTACATTATGTAATACATCACTTAAGAATGTATTTATAACAAATATGGATTTTGGGAAGATTTATTTTAAATGTCAGTCATACTGAGGTCTACAGAGTTGCTGAATCATAAGCTATATATATGAAAAATAAATTTTTACTTTTTCTGGTAAGTCATATACTTAAATGGAGAATTTCGTGTTTCAAAGTGAACTTAAAATCAACATAAATATTGTTTTAAAATTATTAACCTATAATTAAAGAACATCACTAAAATTCAAATATTTAACAAGCAATGTGACTTAGACTGATAGAGACAGATTTGACCTAGGTGCTAAACCTCTCAGTTGTAAATTCAGCTATCTTGTTACTGACATTTGTGTGTCTGTGCACAAAAAAAAAAAAAAAAAAAGAAAAAA